GAAACTGGGCAGTAGATGGTAAGAGAACAGGAAGAAAAATAAGACTAGGTATCCAATTCTAAGGTGACTTGCCATGATGGGAAGATGGACACAGAAACAACCAGGTATAATAGCAATATTAATATTCAGTTAAATATTAATCCATTTGAAATAGGCATACATTCCTGTGTGTATTCTGACTCAGCAAATCAAGGAAGACTGCATAGAGGAAGTGGTATTTAAAAAATGCTTTGAGGACGAGTAAGCTTCAAACAAAGGGTTCTGTGCAGATTCTAAAATTATTATTGCCCTATAGTTCTTTATAGTTTTGTTTCAAGCTTTTACAGATAAAAAATATCATTCTACTTCCATTTCCTTCCCATAAGCTTTTGTTGAACATCTGCAATGTGCCAAGTACAGTGCTAAGCCCAAGGAGCATAGTGATAAATGGGCTTAATTCCTGATCTTGAGGCATTTAATGGGGCGGTCAAGTAGACCAACACACAAAAAGGGGCTTTGGGTACAATGTATGTGTCAGCACGCATGGATGTGCAAGGTCAGAATATGTGCTCTAACTGGTCACTTGTCACTGGTCTAAGTGTCTGTCCTCTTGGTTGGGACCAGAACACAATACCAACATCTCCAAAGTAACTGCTTGACATTCCGATGAAAAGGTGCCCCTCTGGGGGAGGGAATGGGGTTGGGTAGGGGCAGAGAACTTGCCTGCACAAGCATTGCCACAGTTCACTGTTTTGCCTCAGTAAAAAATATTGCAGCAACACAACTTTGTGGTCAGGTGTGGGATTACTTCCTCTTTTGTATTTTTGCAAACATTCAAGAGAGCCAGTTTCACCAGGATAAGGGTAAACACCATCTGATTTTCTTTCTTTTTTTTTTTTAACTCTGAAGATCATAGAAGACTATAAATTTAAAGAAAATAATTGATGCATTAACTTGTTTCTTGTTTTTTTTGCTGTTGTTGTTGTTGTTGTTTTTAAATAGCAACTTAGGGGCACCTGAGTGGCTCAGTTAGTTAAGCCTCTGACTTTGGCTCAGGTCATGATCCCAGGGTCCCGACTCCCTGCTGAGCAGGGAGTCTGCTTCTCCCCTCCCTCCTGCTCATGCTCTCTCTCTTGCTATCTCTCTCACTCTCTCAAATAAGTAAATAAAATCTTTTAAAAATTAATTAATTAATTAATTAACAACTTAAAATAATGAAGAGCTAGGGGTTTGGAATGAGACCAGGAGTTGTAAATTAAACGAGACACTATTACCAGAATGTTTGGGAACTAGACACATCTCTGATTCTCCTTTCCTCACATAGAAATGGGAATATAAAAGCTACTTCGCAGGTTTGTAATGAGGATTAAACTCAATAGAACACGTCTTACATGTTTCACCAATTATAATTGATATACAAATGTCAGGTGTTGCCTGATGTTTCTTTCTCACCAGTCACAGGGACACATATTTTTAGTCATTGTAATCTCTGAGGGTGGTCTCAGTTTCACTCACTGTGATTCCATGAAAATACACATCTGAGGACTTACTTTGCATCAGCCCTGTATCTGCTGCTGTAGATTACAGAGACCAATAGAACCCGGTTCTTGCCACCAAGAATGCAGGCTCCTACTTAGACTTTATGATAGGGTTGTCATGAGCTAATCGGTCTCTTTCCATTCCCCTCCTCTGCCTGCCTCCCACCCCATGTCTCAGTCTGTCTCTCTCCATTTCAATCTCTTAAAAAAATTATTCCCAATGTCATTCAGATATGAACCCTGAACAAACGGTAAGGACATATCTAGAGCATTTTTGAGACAGGAATTCTAGCTGCAAGAAATCTTACATAAATCCTAAAAAAAACCACACATTACTGAATTCATTTATGAGTTCTAACAGTTTTTTTTAAGAATCTTTAGGGTTTTCTATATATAAGATCATGTCATCTGCAAATGGATAATTTTACTTCTTCCTTTCTGATTTGAATACCTTTTATTTATTTGTCTTGCTAGTTGCTCTGGGTAGGACTTCCAGTGGTGAGAGCGGGCTTAAATTTATTGCTCACCCTTTCCCTTTCTGCACACAGGACCTCCGTTAATAGTGGAGAATTGGATCTTCCTTGGGACATCCTTTTAAAAACACTGATTTCTAGCATGCAGAATAAAGGTGCTAAAGTCAGTTCTGCCTAGATTTTAATTCAGTTATTCATTGATTCTACAAATATTAATGGATAACCTATTATATGGCAGGCAGTATTCTTGATACTGGGTCTACAGAAATGAAGAAAAGTGACCAAATCCTCTGCCTTCATCAAGCTTACAGTCTGCTGAGGAATATATTTATCACTACAAAAAAATAAATGCTGTGGTATGTGATACAGTGAGAAGTACTAAGGAGGAGAATAAAGCGGGGGGGGGGGGGGGAAGAATAAGGAGATTGTGTGGGAGGCAATTTGGGCAATTTAGAGTGACCAAAGCAACTGAGTCAAGAGCTAAGGGAGGTGAGGAAGAACACTCTGTGACTATCGGGGATATTCTGGGCAGAGAGAAGAGTGAGCACAAAGATCCTGGGGCAAGCACAAGTCTGACGTTTAAGGAATAGCAAGGAAAAAGTGGGTCTGAGGAGAGAGGAGCAAAGGGGAAACTGCAGGGCTGGAATTCTGGCTCTGACACTTTGTGGTGCTGACAGAATTATGTAAGCTCCCTACCCCTCCATCCTGCATGTGGATAATATTTCCTAGGGCTACGTGAGGTTTAAACAAGATTGCACACATACAGTGTTTCGTACAGTACCTGGTTCGTAGGGGATGCTCAAACACGTTTGAAGTGATCGCGATTGCTTACGGGTTGAAAATCCAAGCTTAGAACCGTAGCTCTGCCAGCTCACCCTTTGCTGGCTCTGTGACTTTAGGCAAAGTGTTGAACTCTCTGTGCCTCAGTTTTCTCACCTGTGAAATGAGGACGGTAACAGAGCCTCCCTCATGGAGTGGGCATGAGGATTAAATGTGCTAATATATACAAAGGAAGCGGAACAGTGCCGGGCAAATAGGAAGGGCTCCATAAAGTGAGTAATGACTATGATCATTAGTGAGGTCCCAATATGTTTCAGATCAGTAAAGGAGTAGACCAAAAAGTAAAGTCTTTTTGATGTCAGCCTTTTGGGAAAGGGGATTTGTGGACATAGGCAGAGCACAGGGTCTTTGAGGAAGTCAGAAGGATTTTCTTGTCCTTCCTCCTCTAGAAAACATGAGCCAGGGCTGGAGGAAGACGATGAAAATAGAAAGAATAGGAGAGACGGGAAAAGGATGAGAAGGAGGAGAGTTATGGATTACAAGAAAGAGGGTACCAGACTCCCGGGACAGCTGGAGAGCGGAATGGCTGTCTGGCCAATGTAGGCAGAGGTGACCAGACCCAGTCTGGAATAAATGTGCCTGTATTCGAAGGATGCCACTAAGGCAGCAAAAGATCCTGACAAAATAGACTGCAAAAACAAATGGCTCAGAAAGTAACACGTCTGAGGACTATGTACTCGTTCTCTCTCGTTGTGTAAGAATGACCCCAACCCTTGGTGCCGTAAAACACCATTTATTATCACATAGTTTCTCTGGGTCAGAAATGTGGACAATGCTGAGCTGACTTCTCTGCTTGAGGGTGTTCACAGGCTGCAAACAAAGTGTTAGCTGGAGATACAGTCATCTCAAGGCTCAACTGGAGAAAGATCCACTTCTAAGCTCACTCACGTGGCTGTTGGCTGGATTCCCAGCATTGGACTGAGGGCTTCAGTGCTTCCCTGGCATTTGAGGCAACCCCTCAGATTCTTGTTTGTGTCCTTCTGCAACATGGCCACTTGTTTCATCAAATTGTGAAGCCTAGAAGGTAATAGAGAGGCCAACAAGGCAGAAGCCATAGTCTTTTGTAACCTAATCATGGGGGTGACCACCCATCACTTGTGGCATATCTATGCAGGAGAAGCAAGTTACTTGCTTCAGCCCACACTGAGGAGGAGGGGATCCCACAAAGATCTTTGAGGGCCATCTTTGCAAGCTGTCTACCACAGACTAGATGCACTCTCCCCCAAAAGCTTCTGCTGCTAGGGGCGTATTCTACAGAAGATCCGGCCTGTGGCATAACCTCAGGGAGAAAGGGAACCTCAAGAAAGAAGGAGATTGACTTTTCTGCCAGGCTGACCAACTGGGGCTTCAGAAGAAAAACTGATCTACAGAAAACAAACAAAGAACACATCTTGCACATCGGAGCTGATGATTCACTTATTTCTCATTTCTTTGATCTCATTTCATTCCCCAAGGCATTCTGCAAAATGTATATTATTACTCGTAATTGAAAGAACTGCAGCTCAAAGAGGTTAAGCCACAAATCCAAAGTTACATAGCTGGTAGGCAGACAGAGTTTGAATCTCAGTCTGTGTAACTCCAAAACCCACACCCTTTCCATATCCAACGCACCTTAGTGTTGCTAGAATGTATTTTTTTTCTTTTTATCATTTACAATAGCAGAGATTTTTAGGAACCCGCTGACAGGAAATTCTTTGAGCTCAGCTAAAATATAAGCATAAAATGTAAAATGCCACCCATAGAGTTTCCTGTAAAGCTCAACCTTTGGTGAATCAGCATATTGCCACTACCGACATTTCCACAAAATCCAGTTCCTGGTATTGAATAATATTCTGAATTTCTATAGCATCAGTGCATTATCACCAATAAATCTAATTGATTTGGAAAGAACACAACTATGCACTACTATACTGAAAAGGCTCAGAGGATGACAAGCAAGAAGTGTTGCTTCTCCAGAAGTTCTTCTTATGTCCTCGCAGTGAGGGTGATGAGGTAGCTCAGAAAAACATCCCTCGAGTGACCGTGATGTATCCAGCTGGCCCGATTTGTGTGCTCCACATCCCCTGCCACTGGTCCAGGAAACTATTCTGAGTCTTCACCATACTCCTGGGTGTGAACACCACTGATGAGAGCCCAACAGGAAGTGTGACCTCATCCTGCCTCTCAGTCTCTGGTTATGCAGGCTGTTTTTGAAAGAAAACAAGAGCAGTTATAAAGCTGACTTTCTCAAGAACTACATGCCCTTTTATTCTAGGAAAGAGCCAAATGAACAAGAGGCCACTGAAGATAAAACTCTGCACACAGTGATGTGTGCATGCCTCTGTTAGAAGGAGGGAATGGATTTCCCTTTATTACAAGACTTCTCGGCACCTGTTGACACTCTGACATTCTTTTCAGCTGAAGAACCGCTAAGTCCTGGATTTCTCCACTGTCGCCCAGAGGAAACTTTGCACGTCAGTAATTCTTCTATTTATCAATAGCAGGGAGAAACTGGGAAGTCCCTTTAGAAGGAACATGTATGGACAGATTATTTTGCAGAATGGATGTGTTACTTTGATTGGACTGGTAGACAGAATCTATTTCTTGAAAAGATTTAGAGCTGTTACTGAAAGTTTTTTCAGTGTTACTAATACTCGATTAACTGTTAGTATACTGCCTGTAGCTTGATACAAATATTTGTGAGATATAGCAGTAAAACCTTGCTTTCTGCCACAGGACTTGTTGGTTTAAAATTAAACTTAAAGCTTGGGGAAAGCTAACATGGTATAATTTGGGCTGCACACTTCAGATGATACTGATCAAAAATCAAAAGGACAGTGGCAAACTATTATATTACGGTGCAAACAATATTATTTTATATTCCAAACAAAAATCTATGAATGTGTGCTTTGATTTAGAGACTTCCAAGGAATGCCAGAAAGTTCTCCTGACTTCTCTAAAGGTCTCTATAGGCTAGGATCTCTATTTCTCTAAAAGGTGTTGCATCTAATTTATTGAAAGAATCAATTTTGGAGCTGTAGGATTATCCTGGTTTGATTTAATGTATGACAGCTACAAAAGCAATCCATTACTAGTGATCACATTTTAAAAATGTGGATAGGTGGTAAATCAGAAAAGAATTTAGTCCTACCTTGCAAGGCTATTAGGATAGCGATGTGTAAAAAAGTGTCATAGTCTACAGCAGGTAGATCTATGTGATGAGTGGTACATGATCAAGGTCTACATAATTTACACACTTGGCTATATTTTAAATTTGTAATTGAGAAAGCAAATTTATATGTTCATGAGAACTGCGATTTGAAATATGCCTGGTGGTAGGCTATTTTTACCGAAACGCTGCTTGTGCTGCTTGGGAATGTCCAGGCTGACAGCATCTACTAAAGACTTTCAGTCTTCACTATGACTACCTGTCAATGGTTCGAGGTGTTGCACAAAAGACCAACACCAATCCCCAGGTATTGCTTGAAACTTGATGAAGAGGGCGATGTGTGTTAGATGACAAAACTACAAATACACTTATTTAGAGGGCTCTGCAGCCCAATCTTTTTTTCTGATTTCTTAACCAAATAATTTGCTTGCATTGTTTATTTTGATGACAAATCAATCACGTAAATCTAGGTTTCCCAAATGAAATGTTCTTATTTACAGAACAAGATTATTGGATGCACTCAGCCAGACAATGGGAAATAATACAAAATTGTACACGCAGACACAGCCTCAGTGGTCATTCGTTCCAGTCTCCTCCTTCAGTCCTAAATCTCTGTGTCATTCAGTAAACAAGTCTGACTGGGTGCAATTAGTAGATGCCATCTGTTTTGGCATCATTTTTCTATTTTTAAGATATAATCCACCTTTTTTCATGGCTCTTTCAGAAAATCTGTGAAGTTTGAACAAGCAGCCTTCCCAAGATGTACCGAATATCTCAACTGATATCAACACCAGTGGCAAGTAAATGTAGGAGAACTGCTATGCGCAATTATCTTTTGAACGATTAGACTTCTTTTAGCAATTTCCTTGCTTTGATTTTGCTGATACTCATACCATTAACCATCTGTCAGTAGCTTGTGCTTCGTAAGTGCCAGTGTTCACTTTGGCAATGATTTTGACTTCATTTCTTTCCTTGAGAGAAATGTGGTATTTGTCGTTTTAGTAGAAAAAAAATCACTGGTTTTTTAGATGCTTGTGCATAAATGTGAAAGGAGATTGTTTATCAGCTACTATTAAGATGCAAAACTGTCTATAAAAAATACTGAATGATTTTGATAGCTACTTGCAGGAAGTAAGGGCGTTGTTAAAACGGTAGTGGTTTCAAGTTTCTTCCTTCCTCTTGTCATTTTCTCTCCAAGTCCTGCTTCTAACCCCTCCCCCCAACACACATACACCTATAATTTACTCCTTACAAATCAACCAGCCCAATCTGAAAGCCTAAACTTTGTCTTAGATATTAATCGTCCACAGTGGAATCAAGTTTCACTGAGCCTATTATAAGTGTTCACACATTAGTGTATAAAATCCTGCTTTAGAGTTTAGAATATTAATTAACTGCACTTTCCCCAACTGAAATCTGTTGCTATGCCTTTGGTTAAAGTGGATTGAATGGATGGATGATTTTTTTTTTTTTTCATTAAGAATATTCACAGGCAGGGCGCCTGGGTGGCTCAGTCGTTAAGCATCTGCCTTCGGGGGCGCCGGGGTGGCTCAGATGTTTAAGCGTCTGCCTTCGGCTCAGGTCATGATCCCGGGGTCCTGGGATCGAGTCCCGCATCGGGCTCCGAGCCTGCTTCTCTCTCTCTCTCCCTCTGTCTCTCGTGAATAAATAAATAAAATATTAAAAAAAAAAAAAAAGCATCTGCCTTCGGCTCAGGTCATGATCCCAGGGTCCTGGGATCGAGCCCCACATCGGGCTCCCTGCTCGGCGGGGAGCCTGCTTCTCCCTCTCCCGCTCCCCCTGCTTGTGTTCCCTCTCTCGCTGTGTCTCTCTCTGTCAAATAAATAATAAAATCTTAAACAAAAAGAAAGAATATTCACAGGCTTCATACATTGGAAAATCATTTATATAAAACAAAACAAAACTTAATTTATTTTCCTCCACTAATGTCTTCTGCTCATTATTTTACAATAGAAGTGCCTTAAAATTCCCTAATGAGAGACAGTCTAGGCAGATGATTAAATTCTTCAAATTACTGAGTAAGCTAAGATAACTAGCACATAGGGTCATTGATTTTGGTATTCCACAGCTTCACACAAGATGCTTTCTTCCTCCTTTTCATGATGAGTCAGTTTGATGCTAATGGTTTATTATTGCCTCATCCTCCACTAAGAAACCTCTAAAGGAATGTTGAGTGAGAGAAGAAACAGAAGATAGAAGCCCTTAGATTATTTCTGGCTCCCCATAAAGGCCTGGTGACAAGTCATGTTAGTCCTGATTCACTGGATGGCTGCACCAGTTGGAATCTCTGCTGAGCCTGGAGCTATTCATACCTTCTTTGACGCCTCCATTAAATGCAGTCATGCATGCTGGGGAGGTGGGATAAATTCATACTTCTCTCCTGTTTGCTGATGCAGGTTCTTCTGGCTCTGAGACAAGATATACTGGAGAGCCGTCTCCCACATGTGTTTTTCCAAGGTATTCCATGGGACTTTTCTCAAGACAAGTTAATCATGTTTCTTCCTATGTGTCTTACTTTGTTGTATTCCTGGTTTAAAAATACTGGTTTTAGCTATCATCCAGTTTTGGTATGGGCATAAATCTTTAGTCCCATGTACATACAAAATAAAAACTTTCCTAACCTAATAATGGAATTTGAGGGGGTGGCTGTGAGTGTGGGAGCAAATGTGAATTGTTTGGAGAGTGGAGAAACTGCTGGATGCTGATGAATAGTTACTTTTTCTCAAATTGATGTTCTCCTAAATACGCTTTACTATCTTACTTTATAAGAGCAACAAGATTCTACACCAATGCCAGGCTGGCCGAATTCTGTTCCCCACAAAAACATGTAGAGTCTACCATTTTGTTCAAGTTCTACAATGAAGTCTCTCCTTTTCCTTCCTTCCTTCCTTTTTTTTTTTTTCTGTCTCTTCTCTCTTATTCCTCATGCAGGTCTCATTGATGTTTTCTCTAGCATTTTGTAAAATGTGCCAATGGTATAAAGGAATCATGCATTGGTGTTAGAACCTGCTCTTATTTGTAAATTCTAGGCCTCTTGCTACTATCAGATGAATCAGCCAAGGATGAACAAGAAGGCCATGAGGAACAAGCACATGCTTTAGAGTCAGATAGACTGGAGCTCGAATCCTAGCTCTGTCACTCATCAGCTATTATAAAATGTCCAAGATCTTTGTCCTTCTGCATCTCATGTTTTTTTTTTTCCCTACAGTCCAATGAAGACTACAATACTTAGCTTTTGGGGAGGTTTGTGAAAAGTAGATAGAGCATGAAGTATGAGCCAGGCTCATAGTAAGTTTTTAATAAATAATATCCATTTAAAATAGTATTTTACTAACTTTAGTGCATGTATTAATTGTGTACAGGTTTCTACATTTAAAACTTTATCAGAGGGCTCAGTAGGTTAAGTGTCTGCATTTGGCTCTGGTCATGATCCTGGGCTCCTTGCTCAGTGGGGACTCTGCCTCTCCCTCTTCTTCTGATCCCCACCACCCAGTTTGAGCACAACCCCCAGTTTGTGCTCTCCCTCCCAAATAAATAAATCAAATCTTTAAAAAAATTAAATAAAACTTTATCAGAAATTCAGTAGAGCTTGTGGCATGAGGTGGCCTTTCAATCACACAGGCATATGATTGTTTATCAAACCTAAGGCACATGGAGATTTTTCCAACTGAATAGATTTCCCTGGATACCAAATCACAAACTACAGGATCATTTGTACAGCTGACCTACAGGGAAATTGGCAAAGGCCAAAAAGATCTCTTTGACTGCTTGTTCACCCTATAATTCATCTGTGTCTGGTGGCTGCATAGTTGTAATTTATCAATCACAGGGAAAGAGTAAAGATACTGCAATTGGAGGGCTATTCAAAGAAAGGGGGTGGAGACTATAAGCTTCCAATATCCCAGATAGGCTGTTTTGCAATTTTTCCATCCAAGAAAATGGATTAATGTCAAAGATGTAGTTGCATCATATGGTGAATAGACTGATTAACCATAATGTTTTTATCAACATGTTTAAAACAGAAAGAGGCACTAAATACCTCGTCGTTTAATGCTCTCACTAGTGAGAAGATGAAGCCCAGATTAAGAGTGACATTCTTAGGGTGGCAGAAGTAACTGGTAGCCATGAATGCAAAAGAGGTATTTTCCTTCACAGTGGCTAGAAATGTGGTTTTTGTGGGACTGGATGTAGTGGTTAGAGATGTAAAGGACTTTCCTTCTTCCCTCTTTAGTTTTGCCTATGATTTCCTAGATGGTGACACTTCCTTCGAATGCTGCTCTGTAGATCTCCTGACAGCCTCCCACTTTGCCTGTCGCCGAAGTCCCAGACTCCTCTCCAATGGCTACTACACTTGGACAGAAGACAGTTTCCTTTGTGACAAAGATGGCAACATAACTCTGAGCCCACCCCAGACCAGTGTTCTTTACAAGGAGAATTTAGTTAGGTAAGTAGAAGATACTACATAAAAGAATCTGAAGTCCAATCCACCCACTAGTTATTCATTCATTCATTTGTTCATTTAGCAGTGATTTCTAAGAGCCCATTACTGCTCCAGACTGTGGAAGCACAAAGACTGATATGGGGCAAGGACAGCTGACATGAAAGCAAACAAACGTGATGAAGCAATATGGGTGTGTGGGTAGAGGTCTGAACAGAATGCAGTGGAGAAAAGGAAAGGAAGCCTATTTCATTTGGGAAAACAGGTTAAAACAAGATTCCTAGAGATAATGAAGATTGATTTGAGTCTTCACAGATGTAGGATGTTAGCTAAAATGAAAGTAGCAAAGGAGACTTCCAGAGAGGGAATGGGCATGGGGCGCTGGGAGACCCTGTGCCATTTGGGACATGGCAGGTGGTTTGGCAGAGATACAACTCAGGGTGGAAGGGACAGGAGAAAAGACTGAGCAGATACAGACTGAACAGAGAAGCTTCAAGTCCAGCTGAGGGCATTGATTTTTGTTCTGAAGGTAGAGAGGAGCCATTGACAAATGACAAATGACCAGATTTATCCTTAGCACATTAACACTGATTACAATGTAGAGGATGGGTTGCTGGGAGTGTGGATGGGTGAGTAGCCAAAATCTTTCGGAAATGGAAATCAAATTATGTCATCACCATGCCCCTCCCTTGACATACCCAGTGGTTTCCCTTTGCTCTAATATCAAATTCCAACTCTTCACATAATGTTACAATAATGGAAAACCATTCAAGATTCTTTATTCCCTGCCTTAATTTTACCTCTTCCAGCCTCATTTCCTAGCATGGCCCAATATGAGACTGACTTGTTCTTCAATAAATAGGACAGATCATCCTATGCAGCCCAGTGGTCACCTATCCTCAGAAGCCTTTCTTGACTCCTGATCAGCAATGCCCTTCCTGGTGCTCTCAGAGCAGCCTCCAGTTAATTCTGTCAGAGCACACATCCCCTACATAGCATGGTAATGCAGGGCAGAGACTATGGAGCCAGCCTGCCTGGGTTTGCATCCCAGTTATGACACTTACTAGATGTATGACCTCAGCCAAGTTACTTAACCTTTTGTGCCTCAGTCTCCTGATCTGAAAAATGGGGTCACAATAGTACTTCCCTCATGGGGCTGTTCCAAGGATAATGTGTTACTTTATGTAAACCACAAGGAAAGACATCTGGTGTGGGATAAGCTCTATGAAGTCATTAGCTTCATCTGCATAGTTCTTGTCTCTTTCCTGTACTGGTTTGTGAACTTTTTGTACCAAAGGTTTTATCTTGTATCTCAGTATCTTTGATATTGATCCAGGCACCTGGAACACACAGAAATTTAAGGACCTTCTGTGGGATTAACAGAGGGAACAAATGAAGTGAGCTTTGCAGATCTGAATTACAGAGATGTGTTCTATGCATCAAATCACTTCCACTAAATTCTTGGTTTTGAACCAAAGGTGGCTGCTATTCATTATGCATCATGCTACTTTCATTTCTCTCCAGAATATTTAGAAAGAAAAAGAGAATCCGCCGTTCCTTTTCTAATCTCTTCAACCTCGGTGCCTCTAAATCCTGGCTGCATGGAAACATCTTTGGTGATGTTGACTCTTCCCTAAGTGAGGACACCTCGTTAGAGGGGGTCAGGAGGCTGGACATGTACCATTGCAATGAAATCGGTGAGTTTGAATCTCCTTTTCCACGGTGAAATATCATTCACAAATGGGCAGTAGCAACCATGTGGTCCTGGACCAATTGCATAGAAAGGATGGGCCACATTTTTAAAAATCACCTAAAGTTCTCTCCACACTACTTACATGATCTAACTACATATGTATTCATGTCGTGTGTTATGCAAAATAGCCTAACTTAAATGTGTAAATTATTAAGCTGATAATACCTGAAGAATGTATTTGTACATCTTCAATATGCCTTCTCTATATGGGATATAGATGGAGAAAAGACACTGAAGTTGGGGTCCAAATCCCAAGTAACTTAGGTAGTTACTTAATTTGGCGATGTCTCAATTTCCTTATTTTCAAAACAAGATACATATGCGAGTATAATAATATATATATGCCTGTTGAAATACATGCTATATATATTAGATATACGTGTATATCGTATATATACACGTAGACATATTAAATATACATGATATTGTTTAAACATATTACACAATACACATAATACAATATTAATATATGTAAATATGTGTGTATAGATACACATATATGTACATAAACACAATGATGTGGACTCAAAATATATCTTAAAGGTTAAATGGGACGTGAAAGTCAAGCATAGTTCAATCCCTGGTACTCAGTGATTTGTAGTTACAATTATTTTTATTACTAGAATGGAAACAATGGATATTTATTGGGCACCTACCATCTGCCAGGCAGTGTGCTAGGTCTGGGGACATAAGAGTAAATACAAATAACATAACCCCAGTCTTTAGTTTGCTGGGGCAGTGGGGTGAGGTTCAGATCTTTGTCAAATAATTGCACAAATAAATATAGAATAATTATGGTAAATGCCATGGAGAAAAAGTATATGATGTAACAGGACACATTACCCAATCAGAAACTCAGGAAAGTTGTCCCCACGAAAGTGGCATTTGAGCTGTTTTCTACAAACTGGGAAGGGCTTCAATGGGCAAAGGGGGAAGGTAAGAGCGTTCTGGACTCAAGAGACAAAACGACTAGGTCTGAGGAATCTAGGGAGTAGGTTTGCTGGGTGAGGGAAGACCACATGCATGGTTTGGAGCATGTTGAGTTTAAGTTCCTTTGGCACATAAGGGGCAAGTCAGTCTGGAGCTCCAAGGGACAGTGTGAGATAAAACAACACATCCGTGAGTTGCCTCGCTCTAGGTGGCCCCTGAAACCATGGAATGGGTGAGAAAGATTAGGAAGAGGGTAGAGTTGGCAAAGAGGGAGTCTAGAAGGGAGCATTTTGAATGGGTTTAATAGAACAGGAGTAGCCTGCAAGAGGGATTGAGAGGAGGCATCCAGAGAGGTGAGAGGAAAACTAAGTGTTGTGAAATAAGAATCAAAGGAAAATACTGCTTCAAGAAGACTGGGCCAGTCATCAGGGGCACATCATGCCCAGGGGTTAAACAAGATGTCAACCGGTTTCATCGATCTGGAAGTTATGGATGGTGGAGTGATGGAGGCAGAAGAGAAATAGGAGGGATGCCTGGGTGGCTCAGCCGGTGAAGCGCCTGCCTTCGGCTCAGGTCATGATCCCAGGGTCCTGGAATCTAGCCCTGCATCGGGCTCCCTGCTCAGGGAGGAGTCTGCTTCTCCCTCCCCTGCCCCCTCCCGCCACTCGTGTTCTCTCTCACTCTCACTTTCTCAAATAAATAAATAAAACCTTTAAAAAGAGAGAGAGAACCAGAGGGTAGAGGATGAAGAGTGTGGGAGGTAAGGACATAGAGGCATGGGGTATTGCGGACCCTTCAGGATGTCTTCTGAGAAGGGAAGGAGAAAGACTTGGTCCCTCACACACACACACACACATTCCACTCTGGTCACACTCATCCACTCTCAGTTTCCTGAATGGACCATGTTCTTCCACACTTCTGTAGCTGTGCTCATGATGTTCACTCTTCTGGAATTCATTCATTCATTCATTGGGAAGATTTTATTGAGGGCCAGCTGTGTACCAGGCACCTTTTTACACACTGGGACATAGTGGCAAACAAACTTGTTCTCATGGAACTTGCATCCCTGTGGGGGGAGACAGACAATACATAAGTTACATAGCACGTTAAAAGTGGTAAGTGGTGTGGGGAACAACAGAGGAAGAAGAGATGGGGATTGCAGGTTTAAGTAGGGTGATTAAGATGGCCTCATGAGAATGACTTTTGAGCATTGACTTAAAAGTGGGACTAAAGCATCTAGGAGAGGAACAATCCAGGCAAAGGAAATGCCAGCACAAAGGTTCTGGACTAGGAGCATCCCAGGGCTGAGTGTAAGGGGGAGAGAGAAGATAGGATTGAAGAGGTATGTGGCTGGGTGCAAGTGGGGAAGGACAGGGACAAAGGGAAGCCAATTCAAAAGCTTTGCCTTCTACTTTGAGTAAGAGGAGAACCCACTGGAGGATTTTGATCAGAGGAATAACATGATTCCATTTACACATTGACAAGATATCTCGGGCTGCTGTGTTCAGATTAAGTGTAAGGTACGTATTGCAGAAGAAGCAAGGAAACCAGTTAAGAGGCTGTTGGAGTGACTCAGTGGGGAGAGAATAGGAGCTTGAACGAAGCAGGTAGAGGTGAGAAGCAGTAGGATTCTGGATACATTTCAAAGATAGTGCCAACAGGAAAAAAAAAAAAAAGAGCCAACAGGATTTGCTGATGTGGCCTTAGAAAAAGAAGTCAAGTGTATTTATTTATAAGCTAAATACTTTACATTCTGTCCTGTTTAAGTATATTACCTTGTTTATATACATTATCTTGTTTAGATATCCCCAAACCCCCTCGAAAGTAGGTCATATGATCAGAATTTTTTATAATTACAGTGAAAGTGAGGCTCAGGGTTAACTGACTTGCCCAAGTTCATTTAGTTTATAAACAGCAGAACTGGAATCCATTGTGGGTCTGTCTGGTTCAAAAGCCCAGTCTTTGCTCTAGTGCCAGTAAGGATTTTGCTTTTCTTTCCAAGATGAAATCCAACATATACCCCACAGCCCAGGCTCAAACAGCAAGCAAGGGAGTCATATAATACAACAATATAATAATTTAACGGTTTGGTACTTGCATGTCTTACTATTTTTCTCATTCTGCTTCCTGGACAGAGAACACAATGCTACATTCATTTTTTTAAAAAAACTTTTTAAGTTGTGGGAATTATAGATTCATGAGAAGTTGCTAAAAATAGTACAGAGAAGGCCTGCATACTCTTCATCCAGATTCCCTCGCTGGTTACAACTTACTCAACTATATACAGTCATTATCAACACCAGGAAATTAACATGGACACAATATGATTAAGATTTCACCAGTTTTTAAATGCACTTGTGTGTGTGAGAGTGTATTACTACATCAATTTAAAAACAGAGTAAGTACTTGTTAAATGAAGACATAATTCTTATACAAACAAAAGATTAATGAAATGGAGTGTATCCTAGTTTCCACAATTACAAGGATGTATAAACGGGACAATGAGAAGAGAAGGAGGCAGGGCGGTGGGGGATGAGCCTGGAAAGATAAACTGAAGTTATATTTGGAGAACCTTCTGTGCCGTGTTGAGGAGCTTGTATTTTATCCTACTCGATCAAAAGTATCTTAGAAGGCTCTTGAGCAGCGCGATAACATAATCAGATTTGAATTTTCAAAGAATACCTTGACAGTAACATAAAGTGAAGATTGGATGAAGGGTATCAAGTGGGAGCTCAGGGGCACTTAAAACCAACAGGCAGACAAAGTAACATGGATCTGGAAATAGAGAGGAAGGAAGAGATTTAACAAATATTCTTCAAGGCAGAGTGGACAGGTTGGTGAACGACTGAATGTAACTATGAGAAGTGGGAAGAATCAAAGCACGCTGAGGATCGGCAGGAAAAGTTCAGCCATCATGAAGGCCTGGAAGATAGTACTAGCAGAGTGATGAGGAGAATGGGCGTTTGAGCTGAATGGGCCTGAATTCAAGTCCTGAAACCATCTTTTCCAACCTGAGTGTTCTTGGGCAAGTTAATTAACCCCCCCTGACCTCCATTTCTTCACATATAAAGGAGGATAATAGTAACACATAGAATTATTGTGAGGATGATATGCACTAATTCATGAAAAGTACATATTAGCATAGGGGCTGGTGTTCTGCTTGGGACTTATTAGCTCTAAAGAGGCAAAAAAAAAATGATTTGAGTCAAGAAACGAGACAACAAATTCTATTTCACATGAACGGAATTTGAGGCACCAATGGGAAGTGGAAAGATAGCCAGGGGAGGTTTGGAAACCTAATAAAAGCATTGCAGAACAAGAAAGGACCTAAAGATATTCCTTTGGAAGCCAGTAGGAGAAGTTGTAGAGGTCTCTGGAATAAAGGGGTTTACCTATAGAAAATGTGAATGAGCAGAAAGGGGAGTTAAGAAAGGAACTGAGGAGGTCAAACAGAAGCTCCAATCATTATTTCCCCTAACAACAATGAGTGTCATGGGCCAGAGTTATCCCAACCAATCCATATATCTTTTAAAGGTTTTATTTATTTGTTTGAGAGAGAGAGAGAGAGAGCAAGTAGGGGAAGGGGCAGAGGGAGAGGGAGACTCCCGCTGAGCAGGGAGCCCCACATGAGGCTCAATCTCAGGACCTCAAGACCATGACCTGAGCCAAAGGCAGATGCTTAACTAACTGAGCCATCCAGGTATCCCCCAACGAATCCATATTATGTACATCCCCTCTCTCCAGTGTCTGTGAAGGAGTATTACTCGTGTGTGTGTGTGTATGTGTGTGTGTGTGTGTGTGTGTGTTAAGAACACTCAACATAAGACCTACCCTCTTAGCAAACTTTTGTCTACAACACAGCATTGTTAGCTGTAAGTTCTGTGCTGTGCATTAAATTAGTAGGACTTATTCATCTTGTACATCTGAAACATGGACTGCTGAAATCACATAGTATTTCTCCTTCTGTGCCTGACTTATTTCATTTAGCATAATGTCCTTTAGGCACATCCATGT